GCTGATGGGATAAAGTTTAGCCTGTGTTTCCCTTTTCCACCCTCCCCTCTTTTCCTCCCTCATTCAGTAGCTCCTCACCCAAGAGAGGAGGCTGTCCGTTTTACCTTGTCGCCTTTCTTGATGGTCCTGACCTGGAGCTTGCTGATGGCCTTCTTCGCTGCATCTCCAAGCCGCCACTGAAACACCAAAACTGCTCGTTAGTAATAAAGATGTATTACTGCTGGCTTCATTTCTGGTGGCATTTAAGAAACCAGCTCAGCTACCTCTGAAATTCTGCACCCATGGCACAGCTGCAGATGACAACAGCTGGAAGAGATGGGGCAGCTGTATCTAGGCGTGAAACAGCCTTTCAGAGACGGCTCCTCACGCCTACCATTGGGCCAGTCACATAGAAAGGTCCTACCATACAGTGACTTCAGTGCCTGCTATATCTGCATAGACTAGCAAAAAAAAAAAAAGGTAGCTCTCTTTCTGATATGAATACATGGAATAAACCCCATCTCCTCTATTTTACAGTCATGGTTTACTTCTCTTTCCTTGTACAGCCCTAACCCAGGTGTAAGTTTGATCTGTTCCACCCCCCCATTCTCATGTGTCGGCCCCGCCTCCTTATGCACACGCATGACTGCGCACGGAAAAATTACATACACCACGATCTTCAGGTCAGCAAGTAATTATAAAGCAAATACTTGGGCACCTAGCATCACTCTTGTCAATAAAAAGCGTAGCATGCCCTCTTGTTTTCATGGAAAGCGATTATCATCCTATTGAACACTGACCTGATGCAAGGACTGGGCAATGAGGAGGGAGACGATTTCATCTTAATCCTTCAAAGAAGAAAATGGTTTGTGTGCTTGTGAGCTTTCTAAATGATTTTTCTTCGCTTAAGGTGCGTGTACTTGGGGCCTGAAATACACCTGTATTTGCAGCAGGAGAACATATTTGAAGGTTTAAAATTAGCACAGCTAACATTTAGTGTAGACCAATAATTTGTTTTCCTTCATTTTGTTCCATGTTGAAAAACTTAAACTTCTTTCCTTTCCTTAAAGAATATATATAAAAAAAATTAGTTTTGCAGTGCTAGGGACTGAACCCAGGGCCTGGAGGGTAGTGGCTCTTCCATTAAGCTATGTCCCAGTCTCTTTGCTTTCTCTAAATATACTGAACATATACTAGTGAACACGGAAATGTCCTATGCACCCTACTAATGCTTTATGTGAACTATGACCCATACCCTTAATACAAAATAGAAGAAAAGTGTTATTTTATAAGGAACTTAGGTTGCTAGGTTAATTCTTCAATGTCACAAACTCAGTGAAGTTAGTATCTAAATAAATTTAAGCTTGACTTTAATGCTGATCAGCTGTCATCATTTTTACTCAACAAATAATCATCTAATCTATCAGCCAATTAGCCAACCAGCTGACACATGACCTCTGGCCAGCCCAAAAACCAGCCAGCTAGCCCAACCACCAACAGCTCACCAGCTACCTAATGAGTCATCCAAGCAACTGATAGAGCAACCTACTGGCTGACCAATCAAGACCTATCTAGTATTTATCAGGGGGCACTGCCCTAAGCACACACCAGACAAAATAAGTGAGCAGAAAAGGAGATGTTATCTTGGCTAATTTATTTTCTCTTTGATATTTTATCCTTTGTTTCTAACACAATACAGACTTATTTTAAAACAATAAGCAAGTATTTGCTATTTTTTAAATTTTTATTTTAGGGAAGGGTCTAAAATACAGGGTGTTCTGGCTCTCACTCCTAGATCAGACTCGTAGTGATTCTCCTGTTGGGCTTACAGGCTCATGTCACCACGGCCAGTCTCAATCACCATCTCAGTGTGCTCCAGAGGTGGGACCAGCATGGCAGTCCCAGGGATTGAACCCCCGGTCCCTGTGCCTGCTTGCAGGTGCTTTAATCTGCTGAGCTATTTGGTCTGTCCAATATTGGCTATTTCTTAAAAGATGACCTGTGCAAACTTCAGATTTTTGCAGAGGTCCAGAAGGAGCTAGCAACTAGGGTAGTGAGGACGATTAGGAAGGGTCTGTAATGACAATGACCAAGGAGAGATGTGAGAGGAAATGGAACACAATGGGCCTGTCCTCTGCTCTCATTACTATCTGCTCCTCCTTTGGTCTCATTAAAGCTGTTAGGATGCCCCCGCCCCAAGGTCTCCCAGTTCTATTCTTCCAATCTGGAACCTCAACACGCTTTGTGCCTCTGCCTGACAGCAAGCTTACGCTGCAAATTCCCTATCTGTTTCTCTGACCAAGCTCTCCCACACCCCCACATTCCCCTCAAGGAAGCACCAGGACAGCAGGCCTGAGTTCACTTTGCTGCTCACTATGTCCTCAGCATGCAGAATGAAGCTGCCTGCAGGGACAGATGCTCACTCATTGAAGGCACTTGGCCCCTCTCTTCTGTGCCTGGTGTAGAGCTGGGTGCTAAAAAAACGGTTGTGCAAAGCACAACATTTTTGTCCTCTGTGGAATATAATCTCCTATGGAAGAAATTCCATAAAACATGAATGAATAAAATATGAAGCCAAGGAACGAGGTGTGGTGCACACCTGTAGTCCCAGCACCCTAGGAGGCTAAGACAGGGGGATCGCAAGTTTGAGCCCAGCCGGAGCAACTTAATGGCTTGGCAAGACCCTGCCTCCACACAAAATTTTTAAAAGGGCTGGGGACATTGCTCAGTGTGAAGATCCTGGGATTCATCTCCAGTGCAAGAAGAAAAAAACCTAACAGATGTTTTTAAGGCATGGAAAACCACCTAAGAAAGCAAATTACAGTGATACATCTTGTGAGACAAAGTTCTTGAACCTGGGAAAATCAGCCAGTCTCCCCCAATTGCTATCCTGTTCCAATGAAGCCTGGGCATGGCTGAGGAAGAGACCACAGACCTGCGTGGCACTCCACTCAGAGTAAGAAATGTGGGTCCCATGTAAACAAATGCTCACTATGTTTGCTAGTAAGTCAAGGGCGCTGGTATTTTTACAAATGTGTTTAATCGGTGTTCTGTAGCATTTGGACCCAATATAATCACTTAAGTTGCCTTTTATTTTCAAAGGCTTAGCACAGTAACTAAGTAGAAAATGGTATTTTTAAATGATGGTCATAGATTTTATTAAAGGAAGCCAAGACATTTCTTAAGCAGGTAAACTAGGAATAATGTTTTTGAAATTTGATTTCATTTAAAAAATTCTTTAACAAATGAAATAATGCCTTTCTGGATTTGAAGACCACTTTAACATTTGACTATAAATACAACTTTACTTTGGCTTTATCTAAATAAAAAAATATTAGCTCAGAAAACATTCCCTACCTCTCTTACAGAGAAAAAAGCCCTTTCTATGCCTTTGAAGGGAAACTGTAAGCTGCTCTTATTAAAAAAGAAATGGCAAGTCCATTCAGGAAATAAAGCAAGCTGGCCGCGCATTAACATAGCAGGGATTATGGGCTACAGGAAAGTTAATGGGTAGGGAATTAGAAAGATGAATTCCATTACTGCCATTTGTCTGGTACTGCCCTAGAGAGGCTAAAGGAGTTTAGTGAAGGATAAAATCATTTAGGAGATGGGCTTCTCAAATTAGTAGGGTAAGGCTAGAATAAAAGACACAATCATGAAGTCTTCTTTGACATCAGGTCTATGAGGCTTCTTCTAAGAAACTCCTGAAAAATGAAATGATTCACAAAGGCAAGAAGACATATTTTCCTTAATCATTCTGAAAAAAATGCCATAACAATACCATTTCCCCTTCCCTTAATGTTGAGTCGAGCCTCATTTTATAATTTGCTAATAGGCTGTGTGTGTGCGAGAGAGAGAGAGAGAGAGAGAGAGAGAGAGAGAGAGAGAGAGAGAATGAATGAGAGCAACAATAGTTATTACACTGTGTATGATTATCTTCAAAGGAGTTACTCAGAGTACAGGCCATAAACCAAAAGAGATTCTCACAAAAAAAGAAACATAATAGCAGAAGTCTTTCTTTTTGATAACTAAGAAAAGGTAGTAGTGTAGATAAAGCTACTTAGCACCAATATTGAAATATTTTTTAAACCATGAGTTTGTAGTTTGGGAAGCTATTTGAGGTTCTCCCTAATTCCAGTTCATCTCCTATTTGGATCTTTGTGTTTCTCCCATAAGAGAAACCATACGATATTTGAGTGTATGTGTTGGACTTATTTTACCTAACATTATGTTCTTAAGCAGCATCCTGTCTGTCTGTCTGTCTGTCTGTCTGTCTGTCTGTCTGTCTGTCTTTTGTACAGGGTCTTGCTATGCAGCTCAGACTTGTAGTGATCCTCCTGTCTCAGACTTCCCAGTGCTGGGGTCACAGGTGTGTGCCACCATGCCCAGTTTTGGGGCTAGCACAGCAAGCCCAGGGTTCTGGAGAAGCACAGCATGTGGTACTGGGGATCGAACCTGGGTCTTTGCACTTGCCAGACAGGCGCTTAGACCACCATGCCATGTACCCAGTCCCATAGTTTATCTTCCTTTATTGAAACATAGTATTCCATTTTTCTTATGAATTCTCTTTTGGTAGCCATTTATACTTAAGGGAAGACAGTCTCTTTAATTAATGATGCTTGGAAAATTGGATATCCACATGCAGAAGATTAAGTCTAGGCCCATATATCTCATTATGTACTAAACTAAAATAAAAATGGATCAAAGATCAAAGTGTTAAAACAGAAAACTTAGTCTAATGGAAGATAAAATAGGCACAACTCTCCAAAGCATGGGTGGAGGCAAAGACTTTCTGAACAGAGCCCCTAAAGCACAAGAAGCAATAGTCTACAAATGGAATCATATCAAATTAAATAAGACTCAACAAATGGAATCACAGCAAATTAAAAAGCTCATGTCTCCTTTGAGGAGGAAAAGGGCAGCATTTGGCAGTGGTCATGAAGATTATGAAAATGTCCTCAGGCAGGGACAGAACAGATGGTCCAGATAACTGCAGACACAGGAAAATCAGCTTCTGAGATGTTTACAATGGACATGGGGCCAGGCAATGCTAGGACTATTTTTCTTCCAGTATGAATTATAGATTAAGAAAATAAAGGGGAAAACACCATAAAAGACCTCAAAAGGTTTTTTGTTTTTTTTTTCCTCATGGTTCCGGGGATTGAACTCAGGACTCCATACTTGTCAGGCAAGCACT